GCAATTTATAAAAAATTTATAAAAAAAATCTCATTCGATATAATATTGACTTTTTTAACCTACGTCTACCTCTACAGAATTTGGAAAAATCGAGAAACAATAATCTCGAAAGTTAACAATCTCAGAGAGGTATTCTGGTCGAAATGTCTTTCAAAAGATTTGCGTATTAAATTATCATTACATGAGATAAGTATGTGTTTTTGTGTTATTGTCTTAAACGGTTTGAATACCTTTATTCATTCGTGAATCGATCATGGTTTTGTTTTACACTGTCCTGACAGTATGAGATCGCGTGCCCAGCACAAGACCAGCGTTGGCCTAAAACCGACAGTCTTCAAAAGTAGACACAAGAACAGGAACGTTTTGTTCGTAGCCGAATTCCCATATGATTGGCGCTATTCAAAAGCTATTCAAAACACTTTAAAACGCGATGTTCTGAACTCTGTGACATATGTCATCCGTAGCCCTTTCTGTCTTATGTGTACTAAACGTTGTCCTAATGACTGGGTTATGATCAAATTCGAATTTAAAGAGCAGTGTTGAAAGCAAATACTCCAGAATCATTTTGCATAATGAAAATATCTAAATAGAGCCTAATTGGTATCACAAGTATTAGTTTGACCATCCAAGCCATTGTTAAATTAAACTGTTAGGGCCCCAATGACAGATATTAATTATAAATATCAAAATACACAAAATAGTACAGTATACCGCAAATATTGTATGAACACCACTTTCATCCATTACAAAATACGAAATTTTAATTCCATATATTTATTACACCATTATAAAATACTTTATGATAACTTATGTACTTTATTAACATGTTGGGATGGTGATTAAAACAAACCAGGACGCATCTTTTGACGGTGCTTCCGTGATATCAATCAATCAAGTAGTAGAGTTAATGGCTGTCTCTTATACACATCTAGATGTGTATAAGAGACAGTAGCCGAATTCCCATATGATTGGCGCTATTCAAAAGCTATTCAAAACACTTTAAAACGCGATGTTCTGAACTCTGTGACATATGTCATCCGTAGCCCTTTCTGTCTTATGTGTACTAAACGTTGTCCTAATGACTGGGTTATGATCAAATTCGAATTTAAAGAGCAGTGTTGAAAGCAAATACTCCAGAATCATTTTGCATGATGAAAATATCTAAATAGAGCCTAATTGGTATCACAAGTATTAGTTTGACCATCTAAGCCATTGTTAAATTAAACTGTTAGGGCCCCAATGACAGATATTAATTATAACTATCAAATTACACAAAATAGTACAGTATACTGTAACATCAATTTGTATAGAAATTTTTAAAAAATTATAAGAAAAAATTAAACATATTTGGTATAAAATACTAGGTTTATTGATTATATTTTACATCCAGCCATCACAGAAAATCCATCTAAAATACTTGTTTTTAAATAATTTTAAAGGTTTTAATTTTAAAAATCCACAAAAACTGTTCGTCAAGATATATATACAAAACATAGGCCTTATTTAGTAAGATTCGTATATAGTAAGTGTGTTATAAATATTTTATGTTAGCTTGTGTTAAAAACACACGATGCTAATTCGGCTAGTTTAATCGCATCGTGCTTGTATTCGCCATAAGTACATGCTAAATATACCATCAAATTATTCACAGCTTTCATTCGGCAACAATTTTTATACAGGATCTTAAAAAGTTATCTAGATTCTGTTCATTTCATATATATATACTTTTTTAAATAAATCGATAGCTAGGCCAATCTGACATGCCAACATATGGCTGTTTGCTCTAAATCTGATAATCTTTAATTTTTCATTCATATCATATTTACCTAAATCCTGAGCTATTCCGCTGAACGAAATCTTTAATTGTATATCAATTAACGCGTATTAACTTGGTTGGCTAAGTCAATCACTGCCTTACACCAAGACCGATGAGGCGTAGGATCTCCATTAGTGGGTTTTATTATTTGTTTCTAGTGCCCTTACGTCAGAGCCGCACATAGACTGAGGCTAGAGTTTCTTTTCTTACGTTCGAATGAGTGTTGATTTAGTGTATTTGTTGTAATGGTTGATTCGTTCATAATAGAAACGCGTGTCGTGATTTTGTAGGCATTTAAACTGATAACAGCTCATGTTACTTGGGTAATCGTTCAAGTTTATTCTATCTCTTAATTATTCAAGGGGCGGAAAATGTATCACTCGATATCCAAAGCGTTCTCACACAACATAAAATATCCTGATATTTAAAAAAAAAAAAAAACATGTTTTTGCGAAAAATAAATTACTTTGAAGATTGCTGTTTGCTAAAAAAGAAAGCAAAACTAATGCGCTAACGCTCTTAGCAATGAGATCCCCAAGAACAAATTGTCTTCTGTTTTACAGTCCCGCGTGGACAACATGCGCGTGTATACACACTTGTACAGCATTACACGTTGAGATACAATAATAATTGACAATAATATCATATTAACAGATTCAAAATTTAAGCATAATAGATTTTTTAAGTATGTTACTTTATACTTAAGAACTACACTAATCTCAGTTTTACGCAAATATTGTATGAACACCACTTTCATCCATTACAAAATACGAAATTTTAATTCCATATATTTATTACACCATTATAAAATACTTTATGATAACTTATGTACTTTATTAACATGTTGGGATGGTGATTAAAACAAACCAGGACGCATCTTTTGACGGTGCTTCCGTGATATCAATCAATCAAGTAGTAGAGTTAATGGAGCGCCAATTACCACTATTTGATACACCTTACTCAGGTGTTCGGCCCTTCCTGTCGATAGGCTGTTTTTTTTATTTTTCCATAATAAAAACGTAGGATATGTCTCTTTAGAAGCCTTAAGATGACGTAGATTAGATTCAACCGCGATTTCAGTCGGGAATTATTGATTTTATCAAAGACTAGATAATATTTAAAGATTTGGAATCCTTACCACGTATATAACATGTGTGAAATTATCGGAAATTAGTTCTACCCTTGAGAATATTATTTTCGGGATTGTTTGCTGTGAAAGTAGGCGTGTGACACATTGTTCCAAGCTACCAGCTAACAATAGAAACATTCGGCGGGAACTGTCAATTAACTAGGGTGATTAGACTCGGGCAAACTATCTACACCATGGAAATCGATACACGCATGAACCGTCCGTGCATCGCCACATCTGTTAAGTTATAGGGAGCAAGTTTACACCGAAATGACAATGTAAAGACTGGTTAATGCAATGGGATTTTGATTCGGAAAGTAAAATCGATCTTAAATTTGCATTGTATTAGTAAACACTGCAAAGCGTGCGTCTTCTAGGTTTGTCGGTTTTTGCACGGCTTTCACTGCAACAAATACCGTACGAAGTCACCATGGTCATTGCTAAGTACCCCATTAAGAGCAGTATTGTAGGTTGTAACTGGTGAATGATGAAATATGAGTACGGATTGGCATTAATGAAAACTTTATTTTAAATATTGTCTGTCTTATCATACTAATTGTTGGGAAGCTGAAGATTTATGTTTAGACAATATTTAGAAAAGAAATGCATAATTTTAAAATTACTAGTAGGTGGTCTATTAAAAGTAGTAGTAGTAGTAGTAGTAGTAATAATAATAATAATAATAATAATAATAATAAAATTAATAATAATAATAATAATAATAATAATAATAATAATAATAATAATAATAATAATAATAATAATAATAATAATAATAATAATAATAATAATAATAATTCTTTATTGGAAATCAGAAATTAAGTCTGGTCCCCTGCGCCACACAACCTAATTATAAAAACTATGTTATCCATAGTTTTGAAGTTACCATATCGTCTTTCTCGAAGTCTTTTTATGTTAGCGGCTGCTTTTTTTGAATTGTTTGAAAAATTACCGCAACTTAAAAAAGAAACAAGAAATTTGAAGTACATATTATCTTAGCGCAAATTTTATGTTATATAAGTTTTTTTTATAAAATAGGTCCGGTACTTTTATATTGTGTTTTATCTTCTATATGTTTACTATTATGTTATGTTGTTTTACATTATTGAATAAAGAAATACATTAATAACATACCATAACAAATTGTTGTTCTCAGTTTTCGTTATGAATTCAAATACTATGCAATTATGCCTATTATATTAATATTATTATTAAATATTTTTTTAGTATTATTACTATTATTGTTATTATTACTATTATTATTATTATTATTATTATTATTATTATTACTACTACTACTACTATTACTATTATTACTATTATTGTTATTATTATTATTATTATTATTATTATTATTATTATTATTTGTTCCTACAGTGTTACATACTTAAAGCATTTTCTTGCCTATTATATTAATATTATTATTAAATATTTTTTTAGTATTATTACTATTATTGTTATTATTACTATTATTAGTATTATTATTATTATTATTATTATTATTATTATTATTATTATTACTACTACTATTACTATTATTACTATTATTGTTATTATTATTATTATTATTATTATTATTATTATTATTATTATTATTTGTTCCTACAGTGTTACATACTTAAAGCATTTTCTTGCTTATTTAGTAACCTATTCCTGTTATCTGCTGCCGTTGTATTTCTTTTGTTGACTACTGTACTGTATATGTATAATTAAAATAAAGTTATTCGAAATGAAATTTAAAAAAAAAATAAGCTCGTAAAAGTTCTTTTGACTTTACTTTTTTTCTTTTATGTATTATGAAACACGTCTAAACTGAACGAATAAAAATCATTTTTAAATCTTTTATTTAGAAGTTTTTCTTTATCTTTTATGTTCTATAATTCTTTAGTTGCTTTTTTTTTTATTACTGAATAAATAATTGTTATTATATAGTAATAATCTTATTATCTTAAAGTAACAACAATATTTTAGTTTTCATTTTCCTTTATTAATTGAAAACTTGATGCAAGTTTATATCTTCATAATTTGAGAATGGTTTACTTTTCGTCTTCATAGGAATGCCATATATGCATCGAATTCTTCATGATACCAGTTCAACCAACTCGTTGCACGAGAAACGAAAACAACGACGCATTCGCACTACATTCACGAGCGGGCAACTCAAAGAACTGGAGAAAGCGTTTCAAGAAACGCATTACCCTGACATCTACAAACGCGAGGAGCTCGCACTTAAAACAGATCTCACTGAAGCAAGAGTACAGGTCAGGAAAACAGTAACACAATTAAAATTTTAGAAAACAATGGGATGTTAATTGTTTTTCACTTAATTGTCGGCATAGGCTCTAAACCTCATTGGCCAGGGAGGTTAGAGGTTACCCACATCTTGTGTTGGGCTGTCAGCACATGGTGTCATCTTGTCACACCTCTGGCCATATTTTTCTGATTTGTAATTGTTGTGCCGAATTATGTAATAACTAAATAAATATTTTTTAGATAAGCGATATATTATACCAAAGTAAATAGTTAAATACAATATAGTAGGCTAAGCCTATTTTATTCATTTCTCTACTGAATTCGTTTGGAAATGCGATGTAATGGCAATATTTAAATGTAAGTTGATTTAAAAGTACGTTCAATGGTCTGCGAACAAAGTAAACATGACTTCTATCTTCGAAATTGTTGCAATTTGTAAAAAGCAAGGAGTCATACTTTAAAGATTGCTTTGGAAACGTTGGACTAATTGTAATCATAAATCTGAGCTCCCATCCGGCAACCTGAGACATTGGGAATATGTGTTTTTGGTAAATTTCTCCAAGGCACTCCACTTAATTTGAAGACGTTCGGCTCTTTAAACGTTGATGGGCATATAGTATAATCTGATTACTATTGATTCGATGGCTTTTCTAGTGCAGCGTTCACTCACGTAGAAACAGAGTTTTTACCTTTACTTGACACCTACAATCGAACGTGATTTCGGGCGCGAAAGTTGGATTGCAGACGATAGCAAACGATTGATCAATGATCGAGCACGCACAATAGCACGTCTTTAATTGACGTATCGATGCAATTGAACTGATGGGCTCTACAAAGGAGAACCACTGATGGATACATTAAGAAATAAGTTGTTGATTGGTTTTAATTACAAAGTAAAACAACTTGATGAATAGGTTTGGCTGGATGGTTGTATGTTTGAGTAGAACAATTCCAATTCACTGAGTTTTATTGTATTGTCGGTAATCAAAAACCACTGTACCAAAAGCATGATTAATAGCGCTTGGCACCGGTCAGATAAATTATCTAGCGGTATTTTAAAATCACTTCTTTTAGATAAGTGTCACCATCAACTTATCGATTTTAGTTGAGCAAGTCGAAGTTTTAAAGATTGATCAGAATTTGCACGAGTGCCGTACGTAGGCCAGGCCTACGCCTATTTGCCAAAAATGATATCCAACAATTTGTGATCCAGTGGAGTTTATTACAATATTAAAAACTGTATTTCAATTATAGGCCTGCTGTATTTAAAATAACTTCCAAAATAAGATTCAAGTATTATTGTATTATTAAATTTTCATAAATGTAATTATTGTAATTTTTTTTAAATATCAATTTTAATCTCTTAAGTAATTTTAATTTGTTAATATATTTTCATGTATATATTGATTGTTAATTATTATATTTAATTAATAAATTAATTTGATTTATTTAATTATTATTTAGTTTGAATTTAGCTTGTTTTATTGAATTGTTAGTTTGACGCGATTCGGCGTATCGTAATACTGCAATTTCAAACTGTGTTTGTTGTTTAAATAAATAAACCAAAATTAACAAAGGTACAACTGTAAACATGAATTATAACAGAGCAACATTAAAAACATTAAAATACAATAACAAACGAATAACTATATATAACACCTTTTAAAGAATAAGGCCAGAAATAGGTTCACTCATTGTTATCAAGTCAGCCACATCCCAGCAAGTAAATCCAATCGATACGCATGTCAATATAGAATTATTGTATATAATATTATGTATTGAAAATACCCATAGGCCTATGAATATTTTAGTTCCATTTTGCATCTTACGTTTGTGCATCGATAAATAACTCGAAACGATGCATTTTACTGACTAACACTAACATCGGAGACGGTCCATTTTGCAATACCTAAGTATGACGTTATTTTTTTTATTTTTTTTTTTAGGTTTGGTTTCAAAACAGACGTGCAAAATTCAGGAAGAGCGAACGAGCTGCAAACGCAACTAAACAGCCACAGACCAGTTCAGGGAATAATAGCAGCAACAACTCCAGCGGTAATAACAACGGCAGCAGTGCCAACAGCAACTCCACCAACACCGCAACTGATTCGGTAACTTCAAACAACTCAGCAAACACTAAGAAAGATAAGATCAAAGAGGAACCAATCATACCGGTCAGCAACACCTCAAGTTTGATAACAGGTAGGCCTAAATCTTTTAATTAAAGTCTCTTGGGGTTTGCTATAATAACATTTTAAGAATGTTAAACATGCCTAGGAACTGCTGTGGTGGTCTCATGTTCATGTATGAATCTAGGAAAATTCTCTTAATTAATGTGTACATCTGGAAAAGCACATATTATGTTTATACTTAGTTTGGAAAATATGCATGAGGTGTGTGAGGTGTACTGTAAGTACAACACAACCTAGGCGTCTCCTGTTTGCCAAGTGGCAGTGGTTACTTAAATGGAAGCTGCTGCGTGTGCTTTACTCCTCTGTGATCTTTATGGCGAGCCGAGATGTTATTTAATCGTAAAGAGAAATATCTTGGTTTTAAATAGAGATAATCTTAGTTTTAAATAGAGTGCCTCTATTTTAAATAGAGATATTTTAATAGAGATATCTCAGTTTTAAATAAAGATATCTTAGTTTTAAATATAGATATCTTACTTTTAAATAGGGATATCTTAGTTTCAAATAGAGATATCTTAGTTAAAACTAAGATATATCTCTTTAAAACTAAGATATTTCTACTTAAAACTAAGATATCTCTATTTTACGATGACAAAGCTCGCCATAGATCTTTGTATATACCTAATATGATTAACATCAAGATTGTTATATATTATGGATACCGGTCTGAAAAAGGGAAATTAATTAAATAATCAAACATTATGGATATCGGATTCGATTATATTGTGTTCAGTGGGAATGTTAATCCAACTAAATGTTCGTTTTAATATTGTCTACTTTGCAGCCGTTACCAATACGGACAGAATAAGCCCAACTATCGTAGCAACGACGAGCCCAGTGACACCAGCAGCAAACTGGACGCCAGTCACCAACACAACTACCTCTCTCCGAGGACCGTACTCGAGTATTTTTCCCGGAATGAACGAAGAACGTCGCCAAGCAATCAAACAAACTCACATCAAACACGATCCAAATTCAAACAGCTTGTTTTCCCTTCACTATTAGTACTATTTACTTTTAACAAGAAAATTTGCCATATAAACTCCACTCGCTCTCATTCGGATCCAGGATTTAATGTTATTGGTCCTCTCTTGACGTGAGTGTGGTTGATAAACTAATTTTCAGAGGGGAGGGGCAAGGCATTAAATTAAAAAAATTCAATTTAGGTCAAATTACTAAGCTAGTATTTCAGTCAAAAAACACATGCATATTGGTAAAATGTTACCGCCTCTGGTTATCAACGGATATTTTTACGATTTAAAGATGGGCGAAGCATTTTCATAACATAATTATTTGTAAATAATTATATTATTTATTAGTAAGTACTGTATAAAATAATAATGTATTAGGCAAATCTAAATAGCTTTAATGTTTAAAATCTTCCGGACATTTCATTATTGTTAGAATAGGGCTTTATATTAAGTGAAACTTTACCGTAATATTTCATTTTAATAAAATTCTTAGTGTTTATTGTATGTTGATTAAATGAAAACCAGCAAAGAAAATAATTTGTTCACTAACGGGAATTTACAAACATTATCCGTGACTTTTAACCATTCCAGGAAATGTGATAAAAATGTGACTTATATTACGTGATACAGTATACTCCATTCAACCAGAGAGTCATGCAAGTTTAGATTTCCAGTTTGAACTAAGGATGTTACATCCTACGTAGTGTAATCTGAAACAGGAGTTGTAATGTCCAAATGAATAATTTACCACTAAACTTTTTTAAATTATTGTTATACTATGTAATGTATGTAATAGAAAATGTAATGTATTTTAAACTTTAATTTAATCATTTGTACCATGTGTAATAAATTGTTTATTTCAAATGTATTATCAATTTTAATCATTTGTTGTAGTTTGGTGTTTAAATTTAAATATAATTGTCTTTTTCCCACATTTTTATATTATTTTGAACAATTTTTGCGAGAGGAGAGGGCCGCAGTGGCTACCCCTCCCCCTGAATTTGCCACTGAAAATATGATGCCCCATAAAAATGTTTATGTGAGAATTAATTCACTTAAAAAAATACTCAACTCAAATATTTCTATACATACTGTTTATTACTTCAACAATGGCAGTAGGCCTACATAGAAAATAAATTTGAAGATTGCTAAATTGGTAATAAGATGAAACTGTTCAAGGTAGTACTGTAAATGCAGTAAACAAATCAATGAAATAAAAAAATAAAGGGGGGGGGGGAAACAAATGAAGAAGTTTGCTTTTGGCATATTCTTGGCCCATGAGAACAAATATAAAATTAAATTAAACCTCAAACATTGAGAACCAAAACCGTAGATGGAGATCACTAAATTGCACACACACACACACAGCCAGAAACAGGTGAACAGCAGTGACAGATACAGGAATTTGAAATAGAGGGAAGGGGGCCCCATTGAAGGACTCTCAAAGATGGAGAGTTTATACCCACCTCAGCCCTGTTGGGGCTAAGGTAAGAAAATATATGATGACCTCTGATGACCACAATTGCACTCTCAGACTTAAAAATTATTTTGGAAGTTTTAGAAAAATGCATCATGTATTCTTTCTGCAATTGGGACATGGGGTAAATCTAGAGTTTGTTTTTTCCCTTTCTCCGTAATTTGGAGTCGGATTGCGGGTTCCTTCGGTTGCTGCTTTGTCGTCTCCTTGCTAAGTTCATCGTTTGGATTATCAACTGTAATGTTAAGATGACAACCTTTCTTGATAAGCTGCTGTTCTTGCGCGGCCGCCAACTGGTTTACCACCCTTCGTTCTACCTGAAGAGAATAGTTCAGTTTCATGAGCTTTTTGTTATGAAAACATCTAATGAAAATCAAAAAAATATAGTGCAAGCTTCTGTATGCTAAAAAATAAAAAGTCTAAAATTTTGAAACAAAAATCAAATACAGTATCATAATATAAATAAAATATTAAAATATTCAGAAATTTAGACCTGCATTTATTGGACAATAACAATAACAAATTGACAATAACTTGACAATAACAAAGAGGGAAAATTCTAGGGAAGCAATGCAGCAGAAGGATCAGAACAATAGTTCGATACTCCATGCATATGAGCCTAAGAGGATTAATTCAAGTCATTTATTCATTTTGATTTGTCACTGCTGCAAAATGTACAGGGTGTTTTCTATTTGGAGCAATGTAGAATGTAACAACTTCATGGTAATTTAACTGCACATGTATGACGTTTATGTTACATTCTCTCCTGAAATCAGTTTGTCAGCTACATACAAGGTATGTTCATGCCAGAAAGAGGACTGTACTATATTAAACATTGATGCATCTGTCTTCTCAACATACCTGCATATGCAGCGTAAAAAAAAAAATCAAAAGTAGAATGCACACGACCACAGTCACGGATAATTTTTCCATTCTACGTTTCCGTACTACGTTAATGTTCTACGTTGCCAATCGAAAGCTCCCTATTAGCTAACATTATGAATAACCTTTGACATTTCACCTATGAACTTACTTCATGCTTGATTGATCTTGCCCCATAATGTACATTGTAACCATCTGCCAGTACATCCAGTACCTGTCTGTCCCATGTCAGCTCTATGTTGTGTTTCTGTTCAGCCTGAAAAATGACAAATAATATAAAGCGAGATGAACCAAGAAAGGCTGCTATGGAGAAATGCTATGACACAATTATACGACAGGGATGATAATGATCATGTTATCCCATTAATTAACGTGTCAGTGTGAAAAATATTCCACTCATCTAAATACCAGCGTCCAATATAAAGCAATAAAAAATCCTTTGTGTTGGACAAAAAAATCTTAGGGTAGGACTAAGAGGAGAATTAGTTACATGAGTGAACTTGTTGATAGGCTGTGAAGTGGTTAACACTATGTTTCAGTACAAGGGGCAAGTAATTCATGGCATATTGTGCTGTGAGACTCCGGTAAAGAGCGCTATATAAATGCTTGAATATTATTAATTTTATTATTATCACTGTCTTCTAAGGTCATTATTATCATTGTCTTCTAAGGTCACTACCTAGAAGGGGCTTGCAGGCCTTGTTTGGGGGGGGGGGGGAAATTAATTTAAATGTTATAATTTTCTTTGATGTACTGTACATACACATCACATACAGTGAAAATATAACTTAAGCCTTGAGCCTAATGATAAAATATATCATACCCTTTTTGCCCAGAAGTCCAGTTCTTTCTTAACCAGTTTAATAAGCTCAGACCGAGAGAATGGCAAGAAATACACCATCTCATTGATTCTACCGAGAAACTCATCTCGTTTGAAATGTCTTTTTAGTATTGGTTGCACTACCAACTCCTTAAACCTTCTAGAAACTGTGATTTCCTCTTCAACAGTTGTGTTTTCTGAAGTTAATAATATTAATGCAAAAAATAAAACAAAATTATTTTTTATTATGACATATAAAGACAAATATAATATAAGGTAAGGGGTTCAAAAGGGTTCACTGTGCAAATTGCTTCTGTATTTGACCAAGGCACTTTATCCAAGTTGTCTCCCTCCACCCAGGAGTATATAAGTGGGTAGCTGAGCAAATTGAGTGCAAAATGCGCTGATATATTTCATGTCACAAACTATGGAATTTCCCCCATAGGCATCATTCCAATGACTGGGGTAATAATGTGGAAAAGTGCTCTGTGACTTAGTTGTGTAGAGCGCAATATAAAAACGTACATTATTATTACCATTATTATTATTATTATTATTATTATTATTATTATTAAAGATTATTTCCTATTAAAGACATAAAAAGAATAAGATAACAGGTAATCATACTTATATAATATTATGTATACTGTTTATTTGTTATCTCAAAACAGCAAGTAACATGGTACCACAGGACAGAATCAATAATGCTACACTTTGTATGAGAGTTTGACAGGGAGCAAGTTTAATAAGGCTAATAAGATGATTGGGCCAGAATCTCAAAATTCTTATGGGAATTTCAAGCAACCTTTACTGTTACATGGTACAGTAAGAGACACAACATTATAACCTGACTGTGCGCACTCTTATTTGGAATGGATGGATTTATTCGGTACAAACACCAAGGACAACTCACAAGAGTCTGAAGAAGACTTATTTCTACTGGGGTCCTTCTGGTGGTCTTTGTGGCAGTACACTCTGACCTCTTTTTCAAAGGGTGTACTGTGTTTTTAAATGTGCACATGGGCCTTCTATGCCCATGGGACTAACAGCTTAAACGTTTCATCTGAAAGATGGTGTCCTATCGTAACTTGCATTTCAGCCCTCAAGATGAAATACAAGGAGAGCAGTGATAGGGATAGAGCCGGGGACAAAGAGACCTCCATGGTTCAATCATCACACGGTGGCTACTACCAGTTTAGCTGACTGAGCAAAGTTGTTATCAGGAATGTCCTAATAAAATAGAATAGGCGTTAATGCCTGACGTAATAGTAGTGCACAAACCTAGGTTAGCTTTATGTCGTTGTCTACTGATCTCTTCAGCTTCCGTCCTCAGCTGTAGGCCATGATTAGCAATTTCATCACTTGCTAAATTTGAGGTCATCACAAATATAGCATCTTTACATTCAATTGTAGTACCTTTGCCATCAGTAAGACGACCCTGATTAGATAAAAAAAAAAAAAACAACATATGTGGTAGACTCTAGCAAAACCAATTGCTTGTCGTCAAAAACAAAATTCCCATGACAGGCCTTGAATTTGGGGATTTTATGGGCAAGGCCTCCGGTATGACATGATTTTGAAAGGCACCAAGGCCAAATGGAAAGGCAGCAAGGCTAAAATTTAAAATATAAAAGGGCACCAAGGTAAAATTTGATTTAGCCTCAGTACTAGTCTCTCGCGAGTGCCTTGATTCTTCTAGGCCAAGCCAAGCAAGGCCTAGCCAAGCCTTCGTTGTCAATGGTAAAATGACTTTGTTTAGAGTATTAACTATTAATTGTCAATTCAATTTTGGAATATACTTTAGTTTTTTGCGGCGGTCGGCGATCGTAAACAAAACAGTCAAAGTTCAACATCTGATGTTGTTGCTCAGTGCGTCGTCATCGGAGAGGAGGCCACACCTCTAAATTGGCCGTCATCCAATGGATTAGCCGAGTGTCAACCAATTAGGTTAATTTCACACGCTTGACCTGCGATGACGTCAGATCGCCCAAAGCTAGCTGCACAGCATGCAAGCACATGTTTTCAACTACAGTAGTACATGTTTACTGCAATTACCGCTGAGTCAGACGCATGCGCACACAACGGTAACCGCAAAAACAGTCCATATCAACACACATGGAAATTCTCTTGTTCTGTCGCTGCAACCTTATCTAGGCCTAGGCTAGTCTAGGATTCGCCTAGGCGACCTACGTTTTTGGCTTTTGTGTTTTCTTTCGGGATTTGAACGTTCTTCAGATATATTTTACGTGTCAAACGATCTATATTAAGCATCGTGAGGGCACCGAGGCCAAGGCTTCAAAAGGGCAGGCAAGTAGTGGCCGTCGTCGTGCTTCATTTTCAGGGGCACCAAGGCTAACTGGGAGGGCACCGTCGGCAATGGCCGCTGTAAAATTCGAGGCCTGCATCATGTATTGACCACTGCATGTTGGACAAAAAAATAAATTATCATATCTTTGCATTTGATATTCCTTTTTAATAATTTTTGCATCAGTTATTAGATTTTGACCTCAGATAACAAAGTTTTAATAATGTCATATTGATTTCTTTGAGACAAGAGTTTGTACTAAATAGAGTAAGGCACATGTATAAATGAAAATCACTATTAGTATTAAGTAAAACGCTACTAAAGAAAAGGCTTTATTATTATTATTTCATAACTAAGCTTTTGCTATCTTACATATAGTATAGGAAATTTGGATTCTTTATTCTATATTATTGGTCAGGACATTTTAACTGAATTTGATCATGAGAATTCAGGTCTAGCTGAACCTACTGTAAGCGTCCTCCTTCAGGTCAAGGCAAATGGTCACTTACGAGGTGGTTGCTTACAAGAGTACACACCATGAATAAATAATCAATACTGAACAATAATCATTACTATTTTAATAAGATATTATTACTGTGAATCACTTCCTATAAAGACACTACAGAAAAATCCTATTTTTAAGCAAAAATTGGTCACTGTCACTTACTTGAGGAATGATGAATCTAATTAAAAACAGCTTAAGAGGTCGTTGCCCATGAGGTTTAACTGCATACGCTCTCTGCATCTAAAATCTCATCAATATAGTTTGATGTCATTTCCAGGCAATCTCTTATAACTTACCTCATCAAACAGCTGCAGCATGACTGTCAAGATATCTGGATGTGCCTTGTCCACTTCATCAAACAGGACAACAGCGTTTGGACACTGTTTCAGCTTCTTGGTCAGCTGACCGCCCTGTTCATGCCCAACATAGCCTGGTGGCGAGCCAATGAACTTGGCCACTTCGTGCTTCTCCTGGTACTCAGACATGTCAACTCTTATAAATCCTTTCTTGCTGTCTTTATGTAGGTATCTCGCTATTTGTTTGGCAAGCTCTGTCTTACCTTTAAATAAAGAAATTATGTCATATCAGCCAATCAGGAGCAGAATTGCATAGTCAAGTAGACAGGAAACAATTTATAAGAGATTGCTTTTCCTGAATTTATTAGCTGCCAAATGTAATTTTAAAAAAAGAAAAAACATTTTTTTTTCAAGCTAAAATATTGTAAAGCCATAGTGATCTATCAGACTCACTCTCAACAACCAAATCAGATTAATAATTTAGTAGCAATGAAGTCAACTGTTATCAGTCAATGACGGCCAAATGTACTCTTGCAAGAGACGGCAAAACTCAAGTAACAAGTAAGTAACTGTCAGCTGTACTTCGGCATTCTGATCCTAGTACAAGCTACATTACTATGCTGGTCACACTAATTTAATGAAGACTTATAAAGCTTCATGCCAACAACGTTTTTGCACTTTAGATATTTACTCCAGGTCACTGGATCAAACACATATTGAACACATACTTTCTTAGGGCGAAATAAGTAATGTTGCAGCTGTAATCAGTACATTTCACCTACATGTACTCCTGGTTGTAGAGCGACAATAGGTAAAGTGCCTTGCTCAAGGACACAAGAGAAATGCAGAGCAAGGAACTGAACCTCTGCCTCAAGGTTGAAAAAATGTACCGAAATGCTCATTATTTTGTTCCTTGTACTGTACATCACATTGTTAGATGGGTTAGCTTAGCATGCATATCACCTTGAGGTTAGAGGTCACACGGAATACTTTGTATGTCTTTATGCAAGGCAATCTGATTTTTTCTCTTGACCCTCAATGCAAGTGGTGCCATAATTGATAATATTATGAAATTAATCAGGCTACTTACCAATTCCTGAAGATCCTAGAAAGAGGAAGACCAGAGGATGGTCATCATCCATCCATCCATTCTCCTTTCTCCTGATTGCTGATGAGAAATATACACATCAACTTATGTCAATTGACTCAAGATGATTTTAATGATGGTGATGATGATAACGATGATGGTGATGATGACGATGATGATGATGTGATGATGACTGTAATAAGGAAAACGTTGTAGACAATGACTTGTTGTAGTGATGGTGGTGGTGATGACAACAATGATGATGATAACAGTGAAGATGACGATAACAGTGAAGATGATGACAACAATGATGATGATAACAGTGAAGATGATGACAACAATGATGATAACAGTGAAGATGACAACAATGATGATAACAGTGAAGATGATGACAACAATGATGATGATAACAGTGAAGATGATGACAACAATGATGATGTTAACAGTGAAGATGATGACAACAATGATGATGATAACAGTAAAGTTGATGACAACAATGATGATAACAGTGAAGATAATGACAAGAATGATAACAATGAAGATGACAACAATGATGATGATAACAGTGGTGGTGATGACAACAATCATGGTAGTAAAATAATTATGATAAACCTTTAATGAGAAATGATCACATGAAGACAATAAAGATCAAGATTATGATCATCTACTATAAAATTGAAAACAACGATGAAATGTGGTGATTATGTTTTTAATCTAGGATAGCATACTGTAGAATAGGAATTATTATTTGTGAAAGGATAATTCCCGGAAATTAAAAGAATTGTTTCCAGTGTAGTCATTTTTGTGGTGAACTGGACATTACACCAGGAAATTCCCTGATACTTTCCAAAGAGTGCAATGCATTCTTTAATGACCATGTGTCATATTACACAGGGATCAAGAGAATAAAACATCTCAAAAGATAGAGCACAATCATTAATTGTATTTCGGCCCTCCGACTGAAACACAATGAGAGCACTGAAAGGAATTGAACCAGCGATCAAAGATTTGGAATGATTTCAATGGTTCAGCACGAAGTGGCTACCACCAGTTTAGCCGTCTGAGCTGAGCTGCTCCCTTTAATTGTGAGATATTAATATTTTTTTCAATAAGCAGGTACGTACTTGCAGCAACTGTAGTGATAGCGCCCTCTTGTCCAATAATATTTTCTTTTAATCTCTGTTCTAATGGATAGCGCCTTCTCTCTTCTAATGCTCTCTGTTCCTCAACAGCTTTATACTATGGAGATAAATTGACAATAATGATAATCATAGTAAAAATGTTGGCCTTACATACTGCATAGGAATAGTTCCCCCTACCATATATTATGATTCATGACAGTAAAACTTACACAAAAAAGACTAGCACCTTCAATCAATGAACCTGAAAGTAGGATAATATGATTCATTATAATGTAATGTAGTATTAAGGTTCAATGGTATTACCTTGCATAACCATTGGAATCAATACCCTTCACCTGATAAATGCCTTAAAGTGGTTTGACAGTTTTAATGGTCAACTTGAGTATACAGATAATCTAATAATGTAACTGGACATTGTATAACTTTACCCTAGTCAGTTGGACTTGGCCTTTCTCACACTATGAATCTATGATTGTCAGTTTTGAGCCTAAGCCTTAAGTTTGGGATACATCTTAATTAGCAGTTTTTTGGTAAACAAGTTACTAAATCAGAGAAAGAATTTCTCTATGATCTAATCAGAAACTCTAAAAGTATGGGGTGACTTACTTGAGACACACCCCCCATTACGTAAAGTATAATAGGCAAACACCCCCATATCACTGAGTCAGTAGTTAGATTCAATTTAGTAGTTAGGAGTACACCGAAGAAAAGTATGGAGCTGAGCTGACAAAAAAGGGTTCTCTAACATCGAAACCTGGAGTTTAGCTGATTGTAACCAACGTACAGTTTGTGTGAATAAAAGTTTGCAGTGTACTAAAAGGAACTGTGTTATACTACTCATTAAAGGTCTCCAACAACTAACCTATATTTAACAGTAAGCACTTTGCATCTAAAACTAATCAACTCCTTGATTTCCACAATTCTCAGCATCTTAAGCCGGGTAGTCACTGTACCTGATAGTCATTGGCTGACGCGATTTTATAGAGAACGCAACGCCACAACATGGGCGCAATGGATTGTTCTTAATGACTATATGTTTAGACTGCTGGCACCAATCAATAGATGACGTCGCGTCTTCTAACACTCACAGGAAGTGAAGTTGGATTTTGTCAGCTGATGCTTGTATAACCGTCATACAACGAAATGAGTGCCCAGCTTTAGGCTTTAGGCAATAAAATGCGTCTAGACTGGTCTAACACAAGGCTGAGGCAATTCATTCAAACACTGGGATGTTGCTTTAGAACAGGATGGGGACAACATATATCGTTTCTGCAAGAAATATGTAGGTACTTCTTCATTCGAGGCCTAACTACAGTATGTGGACAACTTCTAACTATCAACCACATACATCATCAATACATGTAAAGTTTTTTTTATTTTCCCTGAGAACAATGTCTTATAGTACAGGATAGTAGTTAAACACCATTAGCTTGCTAGAGGTAATGGACCTTCCTGTGTAGTATTCAACAGCAATTGCGGAATTTATACGAACGAACAAGGTTACAACAGAAAGGCTCTATGGCCACCAGTCTTATAATTGGATGGCAAATGTCAAGCCAAGGAAAAGGGTCATACGCAGGCGTGGATCTAGGCCTCTGAATGTTTGCCGTGGCGAAGGTCTGGGTGAGAGATAAAAATTCAAAAAGTATTGTAGGCCTAGCAGTGCTGGATCATCATGTGAGTTTCAACTTGCAAATATTCAGTTAATACATTTCTTTTTAACAGAAATGACATAATAGCGTAATATCTTTTTCAAACCCCTAGATAATGTGAGCCACTGTGGACCAGCCCCAATGAACCCATCTATGTGACAGTCAGGGTGAGCTCTGGATCCTCTACATGAGCTTGGTCTTACCTTCTTTGCATAACTTTCTATCAGTTGCTTCATTTCTCTAGTTCTAGCATAGTCTGCAGGTGAATGACCATTTTCATTCTCTAGTGTTGGATTAGCACCTACAAATAAGAGAGCACAATAATAAACTAAATGAATTATATATGGGACTACATGGGACTTTCACTTTTAATGTAGAAAAAAAATTCATATTTTACATTATTTTGTTCATTACTTGCTTAAATACTTGCTAGAAGTGCTGGTCATTTATTGAAGTTATAAGCTTAAAACGACCCATCCAATTCAGAAATCGAAAGTTTCAAATCTTCAGTACAAGAGTAGTTATTTATTTGCAATCAAACCTTAATTTATTTTTACCATTACATTCATATTTCTTTCTCAATTTAAATATTTCCTTTTAATTTCTTGTTTAAAATCATACCATACAAGCAGAAAGTAATTACTCATCTACTGCCCCCTATAGTCAAACACAAAAAAAAATTGCTAGACTCACTTACCAGCCTCCATCAATAGTTGGCAGATATTGGTATCATCAACTAATGTGGCATAATGTAGAGCTGTACAACCTTTGAATGAGGCACGGTTGCTAAGACGATCACAGAACTCATCCTCTCTTACCACAAGCACTATGGTGTAAATATAAATATGAAAGTATAATACATACTCCAAGTATTGAAATACATTAATTACGTCATCATCAGGATTGGATCATTCCTGATGATGACATAATTAATGTCGAAATATTGAGTCCCAACACGATGGCGTGTATTTCAATACTTGGAGTATGTATTATACTTTCTTATTTGAGATTAATCAGTGGACCTTTTGGTTTTTGGAAAATATAAATATTGTTATCATAATAAGTAGTTCATTAAATAAACATTAGTGTTTAAATATATTAATTATATTGCATATGATTTACATCTCAGAAATCATTCATTTTCACTAGTTTGACTAGACTTGAACTACTGCATATTTATAAATTTTGATATATATTTTTTATATTAAAATTCTCCTGGCAACAAAAACACTTCACAAAAACATTTTTAAAAAAACACTGCCAATGAAGGGGAAGGATAATAGGTAAAATACACCTTAGAAACTGCTACTCCCCTTATTGAACAAAGCAAGTTAAACTAGATAAAAAAAAATATCCTATAATAAATATGAGATATTAATGTATAGCATTTGCAAAAAATGTATAGTTTGTTCATCAAGTTACTATGCAAGTTCCTTTTTCTAGTTTACACTAAATGCCAATTTGAATAAATTTAATAAATAAAGAATTAAGTAAAAGCGAACCTTGTAGAGAGTTTAAACCTGTTTCTCTTGCTTTGTGGTAAGTGCTTGTAAAATCATCCCCTAAGTTTGGATCAGCTCCAGATTCTAACAAAAACTTAACAGCTCTGAAATGTACAATTATTTTGTTAAATTTCTAAATATTCTATACACACTATCAAAGTGGCACATCCAGACACGATAGTATAATACATACTCCAAGTATCGAAATGCACGCTATCGTGTCAGGATTCAATATTTCAACATTAATTATGTCATCATTAAGAATTACACATTGCCTTGAAAATTAAAAAGGCCCATAAGGATAACCTGGACAAGCTGAGAGGGCTTTGAGTAATGCCCACTAGCCAACTAGCTAGTCACTCCCAGTCACAGACCAAATAAGTCATGCATGTATGACACATTTGGTGATCTTTAACTGGTGACAAGCTGTATACAACAATAAATACATGAGATTTATACAGTACTCTAATAAAAATAGTATTTCAATAGCTAAACACATTGACAGTGTGATTAGGAAGTTTAAACTTGGGATTAGAAGGCAAACCTAACCAATACACGAAAAAAAAGTACCCAAAACTGAATTTGAGTAAATTTTAAGAAAGTAGGGTTTAATTGATTGAGTGATTTGACAGGGAATGACCCTGGGGTAAAATGAGTTTGCTTAAACTGTAAGAGGTTTCAAGTGATTTATTTACCTTTCGTTTCTGTTGATTGCTGCAACCATTAAAGCTGTCCATCCTAATTTATGTCTCTCATTTACATCTACTCCCTGAGTGACTAATCTGAAAACAAATAAAATTAATTTTTTTAATCTTAATTCAAATTGCATGATAGGCTGCATTGTTTAAGTACATACACTGTACATATGTACGTATGGCCTATACATATTTTTAGAGAGGAAATTACAAAAAAGGTACAGTAATTATATTCTATGTTTAGCTTTTATTCAAGCATAAAAGGAATGTTGAAAATTATCAGGAATGATGAAAATTAAATAGTTCTGAAACAGAAGAATTTAACATGAAAATGATTTTGACAGCCTAGATTGAAATTTAATAAGGTACGTTTTAAATTGTCAAATCATAACACCCCCAATCTCAACAAACAATCACATGAGAATTGACAATTAAGATGGAACAGATGAAGCAACATTGTATGTGTGGACTACAAGGGTTTAAGTTGGAAGTCATTTCGGGGATATCTGGTTAAACAACCTTTAACATATCTAATTTCATTTTATATATGTTGAAACTTGTGGTACACCATGTAAATAGTTCTGAAAAGAACTGTTGTAGTTAAGAAAGTCTCGACGTTTCAATTGAGTTGCTTCAAAGGGGGATGGGAACTCCCACCTACTGGAACTATGAATTTGTTTATCATCAGCACCAAGGGTTTAGCCAAAAAAACAAAATAGGCCGTCCAAAATGGTTACCAGTGGGCATATGGCACTGAGCTGATGGGTGGGCCACGCCCATCTTTGGGAATCCCCACCGAATATCAGTACGAAAACAACATACCAATCAATAAATGTTGTATTTATCAAACGTAAATATGATTTAGCTTTAGTTAAATGTAACATTCGATAGATTTGAAGAATATAAAGAATTTGTCTAAACCGTCTCGGTGAAAGTGGCCGTCCTAAATAATTGTAGGCCGTCCAAAAGATGGCCGGACGGCCCGCTGGCTAAGCTTATGATAAGCACTGACTTCCATGAGACAATTGATAATAAAGCAGTGAAAACATGCAAATATTATGAATGTGCAGGAGACTGGATATTTTCCAGGAGATCCTTGCTAGCTTGCGGGAGAGCCGGAAGCTGTCCAGATTTTTGTGAGACTCCCCTGGGAATGGGATGGTTACTATCAGGAATTGAACCCAGAACCCTGGGATTTAAGGCAACCACCTTCATATCCACCAAGCTATTCTTTCAACCCTCTACAAGGCTTAAAATGAAGTATTGTGGAGTGTTTGGTAGGATTTTAAACTTAGGATCACACACCAAACAATGGGCCACCAAGCTTTTTAAGGTCCAGTGGCAGATTCAAGGAGGGGGCCCTCCCTTAAATCTTTAGAAATTTAAAAATGAAGAAAAAAAATTTGATTCAAATTTTAAGTTTGAGAGTTTCCAGCTTGAGATGCAATAATCATACATTTTCCTTACCTCAGCCCCAACCACAATGGAGGCTGAAGTGGTATAGACAACCCTCCACCTGTGAAAGACCCTACCTGGGTCCCCTCTATTTCAAATTCCTGGATCTGCCAGTGAGCTTATTTAGCTTATTCTATTATATACACAACCATGCAAGCTACCTTTTGAGTGTTTCAACATCATTAGTCCGTGCTGCTTGAAGGAAACGCTCATTACCTGTTTTAAGAAAAGTAAATAATTAATGTCCGTTATTGACAAAAGCGATCAACAAAATACCAGAATATATAAAAAATAAAATGGAATATTGTTTAAATGTAAACATATTCACAGGGATCCCAAGTTGGATGAAGTCATTTCCAGGAGATCTGCGGTGGTGGGTCGAAGGGTGGGGGGAAGGGCCGTTCAAAGATGGAGAGTCTAGACCACATTCAGCCCCACCATGGTTGGAGAAAGGAGGTATATACCTCCTTGGTTGGAGTTAAGGTAAGAACATTTATGATATGGCACTTCAAGATGGCTGGAAGTGGTCCTCTCAGACTAAATTTAAATATACAGTAATCTTCATTTCTCCCAGGCTTCCCCCTCCTCTGAATCCACCACTGATCTGGTTTTTATTTTCCTGCACAACCAGGTACCCATCTGCACTGACTTCCGTGAGAAAATTGATAAAGCAGTGAAAACATGCAAAATTATAAATTTCCGGAAGTGTGGGAGGCAGTCCCAATTTCGATCCTGAAGACTTGGGACCAATGTATTCAAACAAATTCACAACTCACACATGATGATACCGACATGCTTCAAGGCTAAATTTGGGGGTTGCATCACTATTCATTTTCGTAAAGGACTTTACCATGTGGTAACCGCTGACACCCTCCGTGGAAATGTACTGTTAACCCCAGGCATTTCTCATCTTATGTCTGCCATTTTTTCGGACTCGCCATACTCATTTCTGTTTGTGAATAATCTGCAGTGCATTCTTTGGTAATTTATTAGTTCATTGTATCGAAGACGGTTGCTTAAGTGATTCGAGTAATAACACAATGTGCAATGACCTTGCTGTCCTTCTATGATAAAGTGGTTTTTCATAAGTGGAATTACGAATTATAATTAAAAATAAAATGATCATATGTTTATTAATTTTATTCATTTATTTTGGTATCAAACATCAACAAATACAAACCTCAGCCATGGCATGGGGTGAAATGATTTTGCCTAGAGGCTAGACAATCGGGCCCCAAGATTATTGGGCCAAATTTTAAACCATGAGTGTTTTGATGCGTCATCGCTGGTGGTCGGTGGCTTAGCACTGATCAGTAGCTAGGCCTAGCACTTCATTTCATTCAATCATTTCATTTTATTTATTCGACCAATACACATTTACAAAAGGTACAGTACAACAAGAATTAACACATCTTGCATGCCCCCCCCCCCCCCCCCCCCCCCCCAAACAACAAAAAAAAAAAAAAAAAAAAAAAAAAAAATAAAAAAAAAAAAAAAAAAAAAAAAAAAAAACGCCAACAAAAAAAAAAAAAAAAAAAAAAAAAAAAAAAAAAAAATCAAAATTGCTCTTACTTAGTATGTAATAACTGATATATAATTTATATAAGGAGAAAATTACCGAAATTATCTTATTACAAATAAGTTTAGTATTAATAAAATAAAGTAGGTCTTCGTTTGTTTTCCTAGCTCACTCAAGACATACCAAGCTATTTTTTTGGACTGAAAAATATCAATGATTTTTCATTTCATTGCGCATGCACAGTGGGCAGTTGGGTTCCGGTGTCGGATCAATAAACACGGCGTACTATGTAGGCCTAAGCGGATTATGACCGGTTGAGCCGCCGACAAGTTGAGTCGCCGGTCATTTCTATGGAACGCCAAGCACGTCTCTCAGTGAATGCAATTATACAACTTCATTTAATTTTATAAAAATGTAGTACATAAAATTACATTTTTAATATGATTTTGCAATTATACAACTTCATATATTTTTATAAAAATGTTGTACATAAAAATATCAAAATTCTAATTTTCAATTACACAATTATACATCACGAACGGCAATACGAGCAAATCAAAGACTGACAAGACTGTGGGATGAATATGTATGTAGCTGGTATCTGGGGGGTTCATTCACTGATGACATCGGCAAGCCGACTACATTCACTGAGAGACGCGCTTGGTGTTCCATAGAAATGACCGGCGGCTCAACCGGTCATATCCCGCCTAAGCCTAGCCTAGGCCCTGTCTGTGCCTAAAATAAGCCTACCTGAATTTGCAGTTGTATGTAAACAATATGCTACGCTGCTAAACACCATCGCTGCTGAAGCAATCCCACTGGCTTGATTCACTGGCTTATTAACACACCGACTTAATTTTCTCGAACATGAAGATATTTCTCTACATCGCGTTGCGCTTTTGAGTACTGAGGTGTAACTTCTAGCAAATCGACAAGACAATAATTGTTTAGCCTGTGAACTTTTTACACTAAAAACATTTGATATCAATTGTACCAAACGCGTGCACATCGCCATCATTTTTTTTTATTTTTATCAATTTTATGAATAGGATAGTGCCCTCTCGATAGAGTTTGTCACCGACATCATGAGAGGGCGCTAGACTTAAATTTTCTGATTTTCTGTAGCTTTTCTGCAGAGCTGATAGAGGGTACCTAGCAAAGATCTTATAAACACAAGATAGCGTTCTCCGCGATTTACGCGTAACAAATAGAAGCATCGGTCAAGGTTCAAAAGTTTCCAATTTAGCAAGAGGGCGCCATCCATGCGCTATTATCAGAGCCGTAGATAGAGAGAGTTTGGCCAACTTGGCTCATGGGCGCCATGTTGTCACCGAACAGCGTGCGCGCATATAGCTTTATAACATTTTATAAAACATTGATGCTGCATAAACTTTCTTTCATTATTCTGTTCATGAGGACAATTCAATTAGGGATTTTAACATATCATTGTAAATATCATATACTGTATAATCATATATAACTTTGGAATTAATTAATCAGTGACGTGCTGTATTATTTCGAGAAGATAAAGTGAGGACGATTCTTTTTTTTTTTTTTCGTTACGATTATCTTTTTGTTTTGAAAGTCTATCATGGCCTATACCTAGTTGCTAGCAGCCTACTCTATATAGCATGAGGCTCCTAAGAGTCAACACTGCAGAGGAGAAAGGTTGGTTGAGCAGACAGAGTAGGTTTGTGAATCGTCGGTGATAATATGTTAATTTCGCCTGTAAATGAATGATAAAAATATTAATAACATGAAAGTTTTCTAATTGTATCTAGGCCTCTAGGCCTATGACTTCGTAAACTTCTATTTGTAAATTGTAATCTAAACAATAAATCAAAGTTGACGAATTATTGCATTGAGAGAAATTTTTGTACAACATATGCCTAATCATTCATAATCAAGAAGTTAGGCCTTGTAAGTAAAATAGAAGCATTCTCCACACTTCTGTTTATAATATTAGTGAGTTATAATATTATCATTATTATTACTGTATTATTATTAATTATTATTATTATTATTATTATTATTATTATTATTTATTCATTATTTACTATTCATTGAAATTTTGATTTGTAATTTGTAAAACATATAAACGTTTTGATTTAAAATATGTATTAAAACAATCAATATATTATAATACAATTAGGCCTATATCTTTAAAATATATTTTTATCTTTAAAATCTTTAGTTGCACAATAATTGATTTGTAAATGTAAAGCACAATTGGGCATGTTTGCATAGCACAGGACTCCTTGGACAAGTTTTC